TAATATAGATCAGAGTATCTGGCTGCCTGCAGCAGTCCTTTACAGACCATTTCTGTGGGAAAAGGGCCCATTTTCCCACACAATAGCTATAAAGGCTCCTGGGGACAAAAACATTGGTGGTCAGGGCCGTCCTTAGGATCTTTGGAGCCCCACGCAGTATTATTAAACTGGTGCCCCTATGCCCGACGGCAGCCCAGGCTTGCAGCCGAGGGGGGAGGCACTAAGGATACTGAGCCACCCGGCCTGCCTCACAGCGGTGGAGAGTCACAGTTCCCCGCAGAAAGCCCCAAACCCTCTCCCTCACGCAGAATGCACGGTGACGGCGCATTCGGCTCTGTGAATATGGCCCCTGCCTAAGGACACTGCAGTGCGCATTGGGTGTGCGGGAGCCGAACCGCTCTTACCTGCGGTCATGGGCGGTGAAGCTGCCGCTTGGGGAGGCTAGCTCCCCAGCCCACCTCTTCTGCCTGTGGCCCTGCCCATACTCCACTCCTGCTCCACCCCAAGTCCCACCCCCACTCTGCCCAGGCCCCACCCTCTCCCCACTGTCTCCCTCCTCTCTTCCCTCCCCCTCCCTGCTCACCCCCTTCCAGACAAATCCCTGAACCCAAATGAAGCAAATGACATTAAAGAAATTGCAGAAGAGCAGGTTTTCCACTGCATGACAGCTGGTGAAGATTGGACATGCAGAAGATACCTAATTAAAAGCACTAAATTTGGGAATAAAGAATGTTAGTCACAGGTTTTTTGATATGCCCTGAAGTTTGTCAAAGATTTATTTGCAAAAACTTTGTGGTAAGGGCGAGTCAGCTGTCTTTCTGAATACAACGTTAAATGTTATGGAATACATGACGCAGCTCTTCTCTGATTTACATGTTCTTAATCATTATTTCTAAGCTGATTTTATATTTTAAATGTACGCTTAAGCTGTCATAAAGTAATCATTCCAGATAACTACTACATACTTAACTCACTGAAACAAAGACATTATTTTAAATTAATCAGTCACAGAGGTTTAGTGTCTTCATAACAATATTCATTGCTTTTAGAAAAAGGGAACACTAATTTGCATTGTGTGATCTCCATAACAATAGACATTGTGTGATCTCCATAACAATAGACATGTTTATGAAATTTCACCAACTTTAAAAAATATGTTTCCAAAGATTTTATGCATAACAAAGGATTTTATATCTTACTAAGGTACTCTTTTTGCTGGAGGGTTCTCTTAAAACTAGTTCATCAAATAATCAGAAGTAAAGAAAGGGAAACTCGTTTGTCCAGCTATCTGGAAGGAAAGGGGTAATGTCTCTTTAAGGGCTCTCTTCAACCGGGTGGTGAAGGGAGAAAGGGATGGACAGGAAGACTTTGGACGCAAGCTTTTTGTATTATAGTAATTAAAATTAAAATGTGTATTTTAGATAAGGGTGGTCTTTTGAAGGATTTATTAAAAAAACTATGTCTGAAGATCCAAGCATTTAAGGCTAAAGATGAATATTCAGATTATGCATCTAAAAATCTAGGCAAGGATTTTTTAGAGATGTGATTTTATAATCTTCAGCAATCTTCTAATGAAATATTTTTAAAGCAAATTTTAAACTAAGGTCCTGTAGATGAACATGTTCTGAGTAAATATTAGTCATGCACAACTGTTTTTGTCAGTAAATTCAGAAACTGACAGTATATACCTGGGGGTTGGCAAATGCCTGTTCAATGGCTTCATTACCCCTTGAATGGCTCTTTAACAGTTTCAATGTTGTGCTAATAGGCCTGGCAGGCTGGAGACTTTTTCACTTTTACTAGATCCCCTCAGGAGGAAGACTCACCAGGCTGCAGCAGCTAGCTGTAGGAGCCTGTAGGAAGGGTCAGAACAGGGGTAGGAAGAGGTGGGAGGGTGGACACTAAGACCTAGAGGTGCCCCAAATTTCTGGGTGCCCTACGCAGCTGCGTATGCTGTGTATGCCTAAGGACGGCCCTGGTGGTTGTAGTAGACACCTGACCCCATTGGGTAATTTGTTTAACTACTGCGGTTCAACCCAATGTGACGGTACCGAGTTGCACAAATAATTACATTTACATAACTGAGTTTTATCATCAAACCAAAAGCTTCCTTCTTATAACACCACAACTGTTACTCTGTAACATCTTCACAACCGTTACCTTTTAACATTTCCACAACTCCCAACCATTTACTTCCCTCCAAATTCCCCCCACATTCTGTAGTATTAATTTCTGCAAACAACTGCCTTTTTTACCCTGTGCTATCTTTACCTCGGGATTGTTCAAAAAGGCAGTACAAAACTTTTATCTCCATGGTCACCCCTGGATCTTTTACTCTCAAAATGTTAACGGAATCCAGCAGACTTCCAAAAACAAACAAACATTGTCCCAAAACAAACAAACATTTCACATGAATATCTAAAGTACCTTCCATTAAAACTTCGGAAAAACCAAAAGTGTGAGAGAGGGGAGTGGGGTGGAAAGCAACCAATTAACCCTGTGAAGTTATTTTAAAGTACAGGCTAACAGCAGCAAATTAAGCAAACAGAGGAGAAGGAGAAGAAAAAGAAGAAGAAAAGGATATAGTTAGCTCTGAGCACAGGGTAGGGCTCCCTAAGTTTAAACAGTTGGGAACCCTTACCCCCAGGTTTTTATCCTGGCTCTGGGAGAAGAGTGTTACCCGCTCCTGCAAACCCTGCTGTTTTTCACTTTGAAACTTTTTTTTCTCCACTCCCCTAGGACCAAGTCCCAGCTCCTGTCTCTTAAGGTGGTCTGTTAACTCTGTTTTTGACTCCAAACCCTGTTGTGCCAAATCATCTTTAACCACCCCTAATGCTAATTTTCAGTAGCCTTCACTGGAGTAGCACCAAACTTGAAAGATTACTGGCAGCTTCCCATAATGCTGCCTTTACTTCAAACCTCTTACAAGCGGACTTAAGTGCCTCCTTTCCCTGGAAGGCATCCTGTCCCCGTGGGCACGGACCTCCTTCCACTACCCATTTATCCAGGAGGGTGGGCTCCTCAGCCAGCCCCCATCCCTCTGGGTCCCCTAACACTGCTTCCATTTCCTTTTTAATCTCATCCCAGGTTGACCCCCATGCCTGGAATGGGCCCTGATTCTTCCATATCCACTTATCCAAAAAGACCATTACCCCAGTTTGCAAGGACCCGCAACTACCATCATGAGAGCCTGCCATAACCCCCTCCAAGCAGCTGTGGGGACTGTTGGGGAGGGAGACTTACCTGGCTGCCACTCACCTGTCCGATGTGATGTATCCGAGTCACAGCACCAAGATGTTAGAGCTGAGGTGGGGAAACTTTTTGGCCCAAGGTCCACATCTGGGTATGAAAATTGCATGGCGGGCCATGAAAGCTCACGAAATTGGGGGTTGGGGCGTGGGAGGGGGGTGAGGGCTCCGGCTGGGGGTGTGGGCTCAGGGGTAGGGACAGAAATGGGGAGTTCAGGGTGCGGGAAGGAGCTCCAGGCTGGGGCAGAGGGTTGGAGTCTGGGGGGGAGAGGGCTCCGGCTGGGGGTGCAAGCTCTGGGGTGGGGCTGGGGATGAGGGGCTGGGGATGCAGGAGGGTGCTCTGAGCTGGGACTGAGGGCAGGAGGGGGATCAGGGCTGGGGCAGGGGGTTGGAGCATGGGAGGGGGTTAGGGGTGCAGGCTCCGGGTGGCAGTTACCTCAAGAAGTTCCCCCTCCAGCTCCTACGTGGAGGCACGGCCAGGCAGCTCGGCGTGCTGCCCCGGCCACAGGTGCTGCCCCTGCAGCTCCCATTGGCCCAAGTTCCTAGCCAATTGGAGCTGCGGGGGTGGGGCTTGAGGTGGGGGCAGCATGTGGAGCCCCCTGGCTGCCCCTGCACATAGGAGCTGGAGGGGGAACTTCTTGAGGTAACCGCCACCCAAAGCCTGCACCCCTAACCCCCTCCCGTGCTCCAAGCCCCTGCCCCAGCCTGGATCCCCCTCCTGCCCTATTGAGGGGGGACATGCTTCTGTTTCTGGGAGCTGTGCAGAGCCACGGCACGTGTGGATCGGGGCAAGCCCCCGGCCCCTCTCCCCAGCTGGAGCAGGGCAAAACCCAGACCCCGCTCCCCAATGGGAGCTCGACGGCCGGATTAAAACATCTGAAGGGCCGAATGTGGCCCCTGGGCCATAGTTTGCCTACCCCTGTGTTAGAGGGCTTTCCCTCAACCTTCTCACTTCCCTGGTTCTTCTCACGCAGACAGCAAGCAGCAAAAGACCAGAAGTCTGAAGTGCAAACAATGCGATGTTTATTGGGGTTAGTTTCCAAGCAAGCATATTCTGAAGCCCTTCACACCAGTCAGGCTTATCGCTATACGCCGATAGTCTGTTCCCCAGTGTTCCGTTCCCAGCTCTGACGCCACAGAGCGTTTACCCTGTGTCCCCCTACCCAGCTCTGACGCCGCAGAACCTTGCCTGTGTCTGTTCATCATTCCCTATTCCCGCCCCCCCCACTTAGCAAGCATGATTCCAATTTCCCCTTCCACTTCCCGTTTGACCCCAGTTTATATAGTAATATTCTCAGCTATATCTTAACCAATCATTTTACTGAAATTTAACTAACCAATCCTAACATACTGTAACATAATTCTCTAACCAATTATATGCCACTACCCTAATTAACTTACACCTAGCAAAATTAATTATACAGCAGTCAGAAACAATTAGAGAACCAGACAGATTCACAATAGAAAAGTGGGGGCCATAAAGATAAAACAATACAGAAATGAGGGTTTCACAACCACAACCATTGATAAGGGCATCCTGTCTGGCAAGAAATCAATCTTAAGATCTGTTTCTCTATCTGGTGGTGATGGGCATTATCAGGACAGGATCGTCTTCCTAACAGCCCAATACCACCTTATTTCAATTAATTGGTTTTGAATGTGAGGATGTGGCCACTGCCCCTGCTGCTTAGCCAGAGGCCTTAGCCTAAGGACAAGGCTTCAGAGTATCCTAGTGAGAGAAGGCCCATACATAGGCGGACGGTGATTTTGATTCTTTGTTTTATACCTCTATAAGTAGCTAAGTGATAAAAATACACCTACGTTCTTAAAGTATAGGCCTTTACAAGCAGGCCTGAATATCTGTATTCTAACAGGTGAGTACCTACGAAATGCTAATTATTCCAGTACTTTTGTAACTGTCCTTTACCGGCGAGATCTTTTACATTTGTAGCTCTTGTATTGCTACTTGTTGGATATGCAGTGCCCTTGGCTGATTTTTAGGAGTCGCTGAATGGGGCCAATTTCTTGGTTTTGAAAAAACGTGGGTTTGGTTTGTAATTTTTCACATGCCTTTGCTATGTCTGGATTTTGCTGGGAGCAGCAATACAGTGCAGACCCAGCTGTTCTAATACAATTTCAAACCAATCACATATGTCAGGAAATGTGGTTGTTCTTCTATCATTTCCAGTCTGAACAGGTTTGATTTCAATATCTGCACTTCCAGCTACTGATCTCTTTTGAAGCATGAATGTATCTGGCTGCAGCAGCAGGGTTAAGCATTGTTCACCATCATATTTTAGATCCAGTTCCTTCACTTTTTCCCCCTCCAAGTTTTGTTTCTTTTCTTGAGAACGGTTTTAAAAATCTAGAGCTACGAAACCTAGGTTTTAAAATGGAAACAGAAAATGCTGACAGTGTTTTTATTGGTGATGAGGTCTTGGAAATGTGCAGGCTTGCTGGCACCAGTGTGCTCCGGATGTGGGGAGGTTGGGTAGCAAAGGAGGAACATGAGATGAAGTAATTAAAGTCTAGGACTGTAAAATCAGCACATTTGTCATGCCTTTCATCATTCTGCGTGTAAGAAGGTGCATGAGCAAATAGCTCAGCTTGAGGGAATGTACCAAACATCTAAGAGTAAAGAAGGCTAAATTCCCTTGCAGAGTATTATCATGCATGTGCTGGATGTTTAGGTATAACCCAAGTGCTGAGGGTCATCTTTCACACAGGGATATCCTGACACCTGATATTTTGAAAGTGGTTAGGCACCACCCAGGGAAAAGGCGATGCTAGATCTGCTCTTACTGATGGAACACAGCAGAGCATCAAAAACCTGTTGCAACAGACTTAGCTGGTGTGATGGGACCAGTGTATGATGGGAGCTAGTGCACTGACAAGACATTTTGCACCTGATAGGAGAGAGGATCGTTTTGTGAAGACTGATAGGACCCACTTCATTTTTGCAACTTCCAGCAGATGCCAAACATTAGCTATCTGATTTTAAAGCAATAAGGAAGGTCAAAAATATAAATATATAATTAATACTAGTCAGCATAGTTTCATGCAAGGTAGGTCTTGTCAAACAGGATAGGATTACAGGTCTGGTTGATAAAGGCAACTGTGTGAGATAGTATACTTGGATTTTTCCCAGGCATTTGACATAGTATCACAAGACTTCTTGATTTAAAAACTTACATTACTATACATGGAATTGAGAGGTCACACATTAGAGGGATGAAAATCTGAGTCGCTGACAGATCTTGAAGTGTAGTTGTTAATTGGGAGGTATCAATGAGTGAAATGTTACTATCCCCTGGGGATTGGTTCTTGGTCAAATGCTATTTAATATTTGTTTCCATGATTTAGATTATGATGTTAAAATCTTTTCTGGTAACATTTGCAGAGGACACAAAGGTTGGTGAGGTAGTGAATAACAAGGAGGATGGATTCAGAAGGATCTGAATCACCTGGTTAACTGATCACAATCCAACAAAATGTGTTTTAATACAGCTACATGCTAGGTAATACATCTGGGTTCCAAGGATGCAGGTTATATCTACACAGTGAGACTATCTTGGAAAAAAGTGACTCAGAAAAGGACTATATGGTCATTATAGATAATCACCTCACTGTTAACTCTCAGTGCAATGCTGTATCGAAAAGGATAAATATGAGATCCTTGGATATTTAAAAAGGGGAATATCAAGTAGAAGTAGGGATGTGATCTTGCGTCTGTAGACAACATTAGTAAGATCGCTACTAAAATACTGTCTCCAGTTCTGGTGTCCACACTTCCGGAAGGCTGAGGAAATACTGGAGAGAGTTCAAAGGAGGACCAAAAAATGATCTCTGGGCTAGAAAACAAGCCTTTGATATGAGGCTGAAGGAGCTCAATCTCAGGTTGCTGAAGAGAAGGTTGAGAGGTGACTTGATCACTGTGTGTAGGCACTTACACGTGGAAGGGACATTTTATTGGGGAGCAGGGGTCATGTTTCAAAGGCATAACAAGTTCCAATGTCTGGAAGATGAAGTTAGATAAATTCAGCCTTAAAATAAGACATAATTTCCTAGTTTTGAGGATAATTAAACATTGGAACAGTTTAGTGTAGCTGAGGCATGGCCTGTCATGAATGAGTAACAGATGGGGGGAGCACTTCTTGGAAGATAGAATTAGGGAGGGAAAGAGATCATTAGGCTGAAAACAGAACATTCATACAACACAGATAAGTAAATAGGGCAGTAGGCTAAAAGACTGAAAGTCTGAGTCAGCTAAGATAAGAGGGAACCATTTACTACAAACAAGATAACAATGGACAAGATAAGTTAGGAATGAGCATGGACAATGGGTGGACAGCACATACTGCACAGGGATTGGTTCCTGCAAAGTCACCAGTCCAAAAGGTGTGATGCAATGTGTAAACGTATACAAAGGGAGAGGGTTTCTGTGTAACTTTGGAGCTGTGATGTACCCTGCATCCACCCTTTGCATTTGAGTCCGACCAACTTAGCATAGTCTTGATGTATGTCAAATAAAGATACCAGAGTAACAAAGTCTGGAGTTCTTGAGAAGTCCAATGGAAAAAGGTCTCAGAGGGAATCCCAACACTTACCAGGCGAGGTGGTGGACTTACCTTCTCTCATGTCAAAGACTCCAAGCATTGGTATCTTTTAAAAACATATGCCTTAATCCAGCTTCTGGGAGAAATTCGATGGCCTCTGTGTGGTTGGGAAGGAGGGGGTGGCCTGGCAGACTGGATGGTTGTGGCTGTCCTTTCTGGGCTTGGAACCTGTGAATCTGAATCCTCCTGTTCATCCTCTGCCTTCAGGGGCCAAGTGGAGAATGGGACCACTTGTATTGCCCTCAGCATACTCATAACACTTGCAGTTATTCATTAAGATAATGTTTATCATCAAATCTAATGCTTCAGGGCTTCAACCAGTCACTAGTAGGTGTCAGGAAGGAAATTTTTTCCCCAATGCTCAGTTGGCTACATGTCTTGGGATTGGTTCATTTCCACCTTCCTCTGAACTATCAGAGATTGGCCACAGCAGGAGACAGAACACCATATAGGGTGGATTAGAGGAGAAGACCCTGGCTTGTGGGTCTTCCTCACACACTCAGGATCATACTGACCTCCAGATCTGGGGTCAGGGGATTTTTCTCCCAGATCAGATTTGCAGGGACTCTAGGGTTTATTAGTCTTCCTCTGCAGCATGGGGCGTGGTTTGCCTGCTGGTGTCATCTGGGAATGTCTCGTCTAATCAATTCCCTGCCATTGCAGTGGCCGTGGGCATTGGTGGCACCTTGGTCTCTCCTGTTCTCAGTCTGTGGCATGCAACTTCATTTTCTGAGGACTGAAATGCAACTAAAGTATTTGGGTGAAATTATTGTCCTCCTGTGTGTGACAGAATATACCCTCGTGGATTTTGCCACTAGATATCCTCAAGCAATAGCTCTGACTAACACTGAGGTGGAGGGAGAGCCAGTAACTGAATATGTACAAAGGTTCAGAAAAGAAAGAAGAGACAAACTAACCCCAAAGACTGTCAGTCCAAAGAAAATGTGTAGTATGATCAACATACTTGCAAATGCACTTTTGAAATAAGAGACTTGGTAATGGTATTAAGCCCTGTGGAAAAAAATGCAAAATTCTTGGGAAGGACTTCTTGAGGTGATAGAGGTAGATGAAGATACATAACATATCATGTTAAAAAGTCTCATGTAATGCTGTCCCACACCCAGTACATGTAAACAGACTTAAAGCGTATCACAGGAGGAATGACAGGGTAAACAACTGCTGCGCAGAAAGGGAAATGGAGGCACGCTGCCTCTTTGATCTGATGGCTGAACACCAGACTGACTCAACTTTGGAAAGCATTGATATCTGCAGTGCCTTAACTCCAGTTGAAAAGGCAGAGCTGTTGTCAGTGCTGCAAGAACACAAAGAGGTGTTTTCTAACAAGCCAGGGAAGACACACTTGCTGACTCAAAATCATTACAGAAGGAGCACAGCCACCTGCCAGCAGACCCTACAGGGCCATTGGCAAGGTGCAGGAACAAAGTCATATAGAAATATAAAGCATGTTAGAACTGGGAGTAATTTAAAGAGTCTGACAGCTCTTGGGTGTCACCTGTGGTCTTGGTACCTAAGAAAGACAACATGGTAAGGTTTTGTGGTGAGCATAGAAAACTCAATGCTGTCACCGTACCAGATGTGTATCCCATGACTAGAACTGATCATATGCTGGGCATTTTAAGCCAAGCGAAATATCTGAATTCACAATGTTACCATTTGGGTTAATTAATGCAGGAGCTACCTTTCAAAGGCTGGTCCACCAAGTGTTAAATGGTTTGCAGAACTTTCCAAAGGCGTATGTCAACAACATCGGCGTATTTAGCAACACTTGGACTGATCACAAAAAATACTTTAAAATTGTGTCATCAAAGCTCAAAGAAGCAGGCCTAACTATAAAAGCCTCCAAATGTAAAACTGGATCAGCCAGAGTTCCTTATTTGGGACACTGGGTACGGGAAGGTCAAATATCCCCTGATCCCTGGTAAGTTGAAGCCATTGTAAATTGGCCTATACCCCAACCAAAACAACAGGTCCAATCTTTCATAGATCTGGTAAATTTATTACAGAAGGTTTGTGTGTCAGTTCAGTGACATTGTATCTGCAAGCACAGATCTATGTTTAAAAAAAAAAAAAAAAAAAACACGTGTAAAAAAAGGCATGAAAAGAGGGTTTTGATAAGGAAAAAAAAAAATCTTGTCTAAAAAGCCTGTTCTAGCTAGTCCAGATTTTGAAAAGGTGTTTGAACTGTGTACAGAGGCATCAGACACTGTTTTCGGGCTTTGAGGTGTTTAATATGGAAA